CAGAACCACACGATTTCAGTAGACGATAAGTATACTCGCTCAAGCAATGTCCCATCGCTTGAAAAGACAAAGGACGGGTCCTTCTCAAAGTGTACAATACTTCCACGTTGTATAAACGATAACACTGCCAGTCCACCATATAATCATTGAATTATTGTGGAAAATACAAAAAATTTCACTCACTGCATAAGTAGAAAATTTTAGGCCCCTTTTGTTTCATGAAATAATCTGGAAAATATTTTACTAAAAATGATTGCTTATATCCCTTACAAAAACGAATTAACTAAAAATATTTTCATCGTTCACGAAAATAGGTAAGCATAAATTGTTGAGGATGATAAAAATATTTGTTATTTGCAAATTATTTCAAGCAATACAAGCATCATTTTTTAAAAAATATTTTCTAAATCATTCATATTTCGTGCATATAAGAGTCGGACTTATCTTTTGAAATTGACGCGGTGATGTATCCATATCCTTCTTTTCTTCTTTTTGCCCGGGAGGAATGGAAAGTTTGGTCCGACAAATTTCATGGGGTCTACGGCCAACTTTCGTCAAGAAGTTCATGAAAGCACCTTTCATCAAAGAACGAAAGCAAACGGGCGCATGTACAAAGCGCATTATACTATTTCTATGCAAATATGAGATGCACATGTCAAATTAGAAATAGGTAATCATACAACATTCCAATTCAACATTGAAGATAGAATCAACTTTATGATAATTGTAGATTAGTGGATGCCTGTCAGTTGTCGCTTGCCACTTCCAAATTTTGTGGTTGGATGACTAAATCATCGTTATCATAATCATTCAAGTTTTTTCCTTTTTTCTTTTTGGCAAGATGATTAACCGGGTTATCTAAATTCTCGACACCTTAAGTTGGAGAAATTATTTAGTTCGACAGTTTTGATGCATGATATAACAAGTCATAAAAATCTTCAAATGCTAGAATTGCTAAAGTTTGATCATCTAATGCATCCCACATCAGAAAAAAAAAATCTTACATTCAATGTTTCATGCAATTAAGAAAGCACCAAATTTTTTATTTGGAAGTTAGTGTAAAGTGGTCCAGAATTGGATTGAATTTTCATGTAAATTCCTTTTTATTTAATTATTTTTTTGTGGAGAGGAGGAGTTGGGAGTAGGGTTGTTCCTAGGACATGGATGCTCTATCCAGTACCGTATTCTCCTTGATGTCTCGACAACTCTCAACCATTAATTATTGAAACAATTGATATTTGTTGAGAACCGAGGGGATACCGTATGTAATGTTATCTTATGTCCGGCCATCAAATGTTATGGTCAACTTGTTGTCAAACTCTATATTAATTTATATCTTGGTCCAACTCTATAATAATTTATATCCTCCCCATCTGCCATCTCCACTACAAAATTGTAACATTTTTCCATCTAACACTTATCCCTACAGCATCTAATTTGGACCCCACAGAGAATCCTCCCTCCCTTTCTCTCTCTTCTTCAGCTCCATCCCATTGTACCACCATTGCTTCCGGCGAAGTCACCGTCGCCACTTCGAGCCAAGCCACAGCCCCGTGTCCTAGTCGAGCCACCCTACTGTCTCTACCTCGCTCCCTTGGCTCCTCCCTCACTCTAATTATGCTTGGCAGTTCCATCGAGGGACATATGGAGGCGATGGCCCCTCGTTGACGGAGGGGAGCTCGATGCTGGTTGAGTTCCACCATTGTCGATGAGCTCGACACTAGTGTCGATTTCAGAAAGAGAGAAAGTGAGAGGTATGATGGGACGAGGAGAGTCCGGCGAGGGCTGTAGAGGATGCGGCGGTGGCACGTCTTGATGGCAGTGAGTCTGCTGCACGGGGTTGGAAGAGAGAGAGTAGATAGAGAGAGGGGGAAGTTAGGTTAGGAGTTTTGATAAGGTGGGGGTGAGCTCAAAATAGAGTCTGCACTTGTTGTTGTTCAATGCAAAAGAAAAATAGATGAAACTAGATTAGGAAACGATAGATCTGCATTCACACGTTAAGATTAAATAATGGAATCGTCCCTTCCTAATCTAAAGTGGCGAGGATATTCAAACCCACGTTGTCGCAACCTTCTTATGTGGCGAACCACTAAGGGAAAGTTAATAGATTACTAAGCAAGCACTTAGTGCGGACTCTTTCAAGTCCATGTCAATCGCAACTTTAAGATTTTGATTTAATCATCTAAATGTGCAAGTTAATTTAATTTGGAGTTGCCACTAATCTATTTTTGGTGGATTAGAAACTCAAGTAAAATGTGGGAGAACATTTTACTTCTGCAAACAAAAGATTTCATGGATACGGGGATTTGGTTACGCTAAATAAATCTAACACCATTTCAGTACATTTTCTCTTTATTTCAAAAATCTTTTGCATGCAGTGTTAGTCAACTTTAATCTTAAGCCACTAACATACAATGGGTGATCATGTGGGTTCGTAAGCAAGATTTTAATACTCAATAATCAAAGTCATAAATAAATTGCTAGAGAAGGGGAAAACCTTGACGCATTAAGCAAAGCATGACTTCATTATAATAATGCCCCAAGTGTTTTGCAAGAAGTTAATTAAAAAAAATATACACATGACCTAAACATGATTTCTAAATACAATGGCATTCAATTCTTTTTGGGTTTTTCTTCTTTTTATAAAAAAACAAAACTATATGTAATGCATGAGATGCAATTTTAATCTGAGTTATGTCTGTGTGAATTCTAATTTAAACTAATGACATGTGAGAATTATTTAAATGCGATCTATAAGTAACTAATCCTAATGACAAGCAAGGGAATCATAAACTAAGTTAGGTTCTATTTGTTTTGCAAAAAAAAAAGATTTGGAAAAGATTTTCCTAAAAATGATCGCTTGTATCGCTTGAAATAATTAGTCAATGAAAAAAGTTTTACTATTGACAACAATTTATATCTAAAAATTTTCATGAATTATAAAAATATTTAGCGTTCATTCATATTTGTAAGAGATAAAAACAATGAATTTTAAGAAAATATTTTTCAAATTATTCATTTTCCATGAAACAAATGAAGCCTTAACATGATATGTAATGCGATTTATATGAGTCTAAGTGTATTTTCACTAAATGACATGGAGATTATGATGTGGATATTATACATGGCCCTAAAGCATGTGATTACTAAATAACATGTGATTTATGATATGGAATTCATGAAACTAGTTCTATGTGAGGCATGCAGGTTACATTTTGGACCAAAAATATATAAGAAAATTTTAAGAAGAGTTAATACTACGAAAAACCCCAAACTTATATACCTGTGACAAATTTATTCCAAACTCCAAACTAGTACACCTGTAACAAATTTATCCTCTGTTAGTTTCCGTTAAATTTTACTGTCAAATTTCTGAATCGAATGACACGTAATAGTTGACAAGTGTATCAGTTTAGGATTTTACCCCTCCATTTGTCACAAATTTACTAATTTGCGATTTTTCGTGATATTAATCAAATTTTACGGAGGGTAAATTTGTCACAAGTGTACCAGTTTGGGGTTTTTGGTGGTCAAAAAATTAGTTCAGTGTAAATTTGTCACAGGTGTACCAGTTTGGGATTTTTGGTGATCAAAAAATTAGTTTTGGGTAAATATGTCACAAGTATACTAGTTTTGAGGTTTTTCATGATATTAACCCGAATGCATGTCACCTTTTTTTCATAAAACAACTTAGTTAATTAATTAGAAAAATGCTGCATGATGGAACATGAAAATCACATAGGCTTATGGACAATCGATTTAGCTAATTTCACATGAACCGAAGCAACACAATTCGGGACAAACGGCAATGGCCGATTCGCTTTGATTGTTTGAAAGTCACTTCAGGCAAAAAGATAAGAGCAGGTTCGGACATTAAAAGAAATCAACGATTTAAACACGAAATAATCATTCAACATTAGAACATGTCAACAACGGAGAGCATCGACCGTCGATTGGGTAGGTTCGAAACAGTAAAGATCCAATTATTCAAACATGGAAATGATCATTTCATCCTAGACTATGTCGTCAAGTTGATGACACAAATTTTTTCCAAATCTCAATTCCTGTACCTATAATTCCAGAGCCATGTGGGCCGTCAATTTGATTTGGCTCTACCGGTTTGGGGGCATCAAGAAGGGCAATATCCTTACCATGTGTCCGTAAAATTAAATTTGGATTTCTTTTCCGTTAGAAATGCTGGTCAAATATCCCACGTCACTTGCCTCCTACAGGGTCTATGAGTTATTTTTGCACACGTGATCTCTCTCCCGACTATAAATTTAACCTATCGGATCCGACATTTTAAACATGAAATCCAAGTTCCGCCCAGATCCACTTCGTGTGTCCGGCTTGCACGCGAGAGGAGCCGCAAAGGGGTTTGAAATTAGCTCTTCTGCGTGACTTTCGAAAAAGAAAAAGGTTCCCCTTCTGGGACAAATTAGATTAGGTAAATTATAACCCTGTCAAAACAGGTTAATGCGGCTAAACGGGAAGCATGCATGTCGTACGTGTTTTATAGTACCAGAGATTCCGCGAGTTGTAATTCCTGGTTTTTCTTTTTTTTTTTTATGTTTGTTTGGTTTTTCACACGACTCTTTTTGTGTTTTTGGTCGCATTTTCGCACAACTTGAGCATCTCAGGATATTCCGAAAGTTAAAATTCGCATGAGTTTTTGCATGGTCTCTTCTCTTGCAGATCAACAGAAACCCTAAAAGGATCGAGCGAGAGAATATGCGTAGCAGGTAAAAATAAAATTGTACGAGGATATGCACTAGTAGGATCCCAGAAGAGGCCCCCATTATTATTAAGAAGGAAATAAAATAAAATAAGATAACTTCGTTTGCATTTAAGGGTTCTTTTCGATCGGTGTTATCATTCTGTTCTTGTATTTATATATATAGGGACGAACTGCCTTTACATTCGTTCGCCAACCTGCACAAACTCGCACACACACGCTGTAGCACAGAGAGAGAGAGAGAGAGAGAGAGAGAGAGAGAGAGAGAGAGAGAGAGAAAGAGAGAGAGAGAGATGTCGTCGTCTATAGCGTTCTGCGCCAGGGAGAAGAAGCCATGCGTGAGGTGGGTGGAGAAGTATTTCAAGGACTGCCTGTGCAACGCCAAGGACGAGGCGTCGTTCGCGTTCGGGCTGATGAGCCTGGTGTGTTGGGGCGTCGCCGAGGTCCCCCAGATCATCACCAACTTCCGCACCAAGTCCAGCCATGGCGTCTCCCTCGCCTTCCTCCTCACTTGGGTCGCTGGGTCTCTCTCTCTCTCTCTCTCTCTCTCTCTCTCTCTCTCTCTCTCTCACACGCACACACAAGACAAACTTCATCCAATTTGGGTTGCTGGTCATGGTTCAAGAAAGTACACTTCTTTCTTCCAAATAAGCTCAAAAGCTCACTTCACGTTTTGTTCTGTGGTTTGCTTTGATAATTCGGTCTCTCTTAGTGCTTCAATCTTACGATATCTAGCCCAGATTCTTCTCCTTTTTTTGTTTTCTTGAGCGCCGTACTGAAAAGCTTCTCATGTGAGGTTGCTGATATGCAGGGATGTGTTCAATCTGGTTGGCTGTCTTCTTGAACCAGCAACGGTGAGTTTCGAGCTGAAATTTCTGCCAACCAAAAACAGGAAAAGAAGGAAAAATCCAAGCGAACGTATGTGTTGTTTACCACATAAATACAAAAGAAATAAAAAAAGAAAAAGGGAAAGACCAAACGGGGAATCAATATTCTGTAACCCAGTACAGTAACATGGGTGGTCCAAGAAAAAGGCCTCAGGATTTGGATGGATGCTGTTCTTGTGATGCCCAAACCCACCCACGGCATGTTTGGTCTGTTGTGTGCTTTAGCTATCATCACAGCACAGCACACAAATACACCGACGCCTGAAGCTTATCCACACTTTTTCCCCCACCATGATATATAACCATATTTTCACTGCCCTCATGTTTCTCCCACTCTCATGTCTGTTCATCTTTATTACAACTATATCATATGTATTTGAGCTTAATTGGCCTTTCTCTGTCTTGTCTTGTTGCAGTTGCCGACTCAGTATTACACGGCCCTGGTAAATTTGCAAATCCTCCAGCTTTACACGTGTTTTCTTTCCTGAACCATGCAGAAGTTTTTATGGAATTCTGAAACCCCTGCACCTGCCCCCGTGAATTTATTATGTTCATTATCTGAATTTATTGGCCTAGAATTTCCAACCCCGGTCTGCAGATAGTGGTAATGTACTTTAGTGTATAGTTACTATGGTTTTTTTACATTTCTCACGTGAGCAATCGTGAAAAATCAAAACAAAGATATTTGGTTATGGCACTTATGAATGAAGTACTTTTTCGATAAAAAAAAATCGTGCAAGATCTAAATAATCACCTGGAGCATGCAAGATTTGTTGTCCATGAATTGAGCGAGAGAATAAGCGGCACAGTGTGACACAAATTATTTGGGTACGCTTGGCTTAATTTAGGGGTGTCAATGGGTTAGGTCGGGTCGGGTTTCCTTACTAACCGACGCAACCGATAAGAGATTTGTGGTCTCTCTAACCCGAATCGCGTAGTACCAGAACTGAAAATCCGGGTCGGGTTGAGTTTCGGGCCCAATTGGTGGCTTCTTTGCGTGGCCAAGAAAGCCCACGGTTCATATAATTGGACCCTAGATAGACAAGCCCACATTGTCCGTAGATAGCTTCACAACTTATCGTCCCACTTCTCTCCGCTGAAACTCTACTCTGCTGTCCTGTACTCAAAACAGCTTTATACCACGAGCACCGTGGTGCTGGTGCTGCAGAGCCTGTACTATGATCATGTCTACAGTTGGTGGAAGAAACCCGACCCAAAGGTGAGACATTCCTCGATCTCCTCCTCTCCTTTTAGTTTCCATTGCCAAAAGAATGATTATCTTACGCTATGGGCAAGAATGTCGTCAGTTTCTTTGGCGTGGAAGATAGTTCTTGAATTATCTGTGATGATGTGCTGCAGGCTGAAGAGAAGGAACCGTTGAAGCCGAAAGCAACGCATCAATCAGGAATCCCCATCCCCGGCGCCACGGCCAAAGCAACACCAGTAAAAGCGTCTCCGAGAAAAGAATTCTACTACACGTATGACGAAATATGGAGTTTTAATTTTCATTGAACTGTCTAAGGTTAAGTCTGTTTTTCGTTCTCTACCCGAAATTGAAAGAGGAGTGCACTCTTGGTGCCTGTCTCCACAGCTCCGCTAGGTCTTTGGCCGGGAGCGGAACGCCGCCGTTCCGGACGTACATCAGGGTGGCTAGGAGCGGCCCATCCGCCATGCAGCTCGACAGCGGCTCGTCTTCTGACGACGAGGCCGCCCCGGTCACATCCCCGAAGTCATTCAGCAAGCCTATGCCAATCCCACGATCGGTGAGCACTGAATGAATCAGAGATAATCATCCAAAAAGTCTTAAACCTATTATACAGCAGCCAATTCAGTCCTAAACCTTTCAATTATTCCAATTTAGTCCTAAACCTTCTGATAATTTGCCAATTTAGTTTCAAACCTTTCAATTGTGTCAATTTAATCTTAAACCTTTTGAAAATTTACCAATTCAATCATAAACCTATTGTTTGGATAATTGGCCAAAAGTACTACATTGGCAAATCATCAAGGGGTTTAGGACTAAATTGACAAATTGCCAACAAGTTTAAGATTAAATTAGCACAATTAAAAATTTTAAGACTAAATTGGCAAACTATATTGGCACAATTGAAATGTTTAGAATTGAATCGGCCCCTGTACAATAGGTTTAGGACTTTTTGGAATCACATTAATTTTTTTTTTGTCAAATGAATCACATTAACTTAGTTGCCTTAATTATGTGATCTTTCTAGGATATATTGGTCTATCCCCAATTGAAATTCTATTTATGGAGTGACTGACGACCCTCTAATTTTAAATGTGCACACATTAAGATTCTAATTTTTTTCATTTATTTTGTTATTTCAGGTGGGGTATGGGACATTTCTAGCATCATCCCTCACTCTACCTCTTCAGAACAAAGCTTTCACAGAAGCTCATGTTGTTCTCACCACGAGGAAATTGTTACGAGTATGAGTTAATCCCATGATTACCAACCCTAAGTGCTGTAGAATCTTGCCCTAATTGATTAAATCATCTCTCCTAATCTTGCTTTATGTTTTTTCTTTTTTGGTCTGGTGAATTCATACGAAGCAGGAAGGTGGAATGGAGCACAGTGCGTTCGGACAATGGCTTGGATGGCTAATGGCTGCCATATACATGGGTGGCAGACTCCCTCAGATATGGTTAAATGTATGCTAATCCCTCGATCATGTTAAATTAATTAATCCGACGTATCGACATGTCACGCATTTCCCTTTCGTCGTACTTGCATATGATTCGTCACGCTTCACTGATGGAGGATATTGTTCTTGTCATTTTTCAGATTAAGAGAGGGAGCGTCGAGGTGATACGCTTTCTCCTCTCTCCAGATCGCGTTTTCATTCCAATGAATTCGACTGCGACAAGTCCTTAACCTTTCTCGCTGATGTTGTTTCAGGGCTTGAATCCTCTTATGTTCGTCTTCGCGCTGATTGCCAATGTCACCTACGTGGGAAGGTTCTCTCTCTCTCTCGCTCATGCATGTATATATACTAATTGTATCTACGTACGTATATATGTACGTATATATATGTAGTATTTTAAACAAGCATTTTACGGATGTTGCAGCATTCTAGTGAGAACAATCGAGTGGGAAAGTATCAAAGCTAACATGCCGTGGCTGTTGGACGCAATCGTTTGCGTGGCGCTCGACCTATTCGTATCCTTCCTGGAGCTTCTCTCTAACATAATCAGAGCATATTGCGTAGACTGCAATTGTGAAGCTTACCACGAATCAATTGCCTCCTTAACCAAAACAAAATTAGATCATACTGCAGTACATATACTACAGGTACTTCAGCAAAAGCAAGAACAGCGACGACGAAGGCCACGGATACTACAAGGAAGCAGGCAAGGGCGCGGCATCTTGACTGCCACATCGCTATGCGGCGCTCATGCTCATGCTCTTGCCCGTGCTCGAGGGTCCTTCATCCATCGCGACTCAGGGATTCGTAGTTTTGTATTGTTTTCTTTCGAGGATGTACCTTGTTATTGTTCATAATCTGCCGTCATCTTTTATCTTATATCACCCAGTTATACACACTGGAGAGAAAAATTTCGAATAAAAAATAAAAGTGAGAAGCCATTTCCTTTTATGCAAATCTTAATCTAAGTAATCAAGAGCACAACTGGGTTGCTTTCACTTTTCTGGACAATCAAGACATTGGCAACGACGTCGACATTTCATGCAATGTAGAAAAAATCGGACAAAGTTAGGCTCGTATGATAAAGAAATCAATCACTTGAAACGTAAGGTAAGAGCAATCATTTCACCCTAGAGTGTTCCCCATGCTGACGTCATAAATAATTCCATCTCTCAGATCTTATTCTGGTCTGCATTTCTCGAGTCATCCGGGCCGTCAAAGTCCAATTTGGGCCCTTGCCTTTCTCGCTTTCAAATTTCATTTTCAGAGAAACTAAAACTGAACAAACTTTTCTTTCTGTGTTGCTGGAAAACGGGTTCTGTTGGTGAATACATAAGGTTTCGACATCGTCGAGAACAATGAAATCTTGGTTGGTTGTGTCGTTTCAATCATGAAATTTCTACAATTCATCTAAACTTGATATTGGAAAAATTTGTGTCCACTATATACTATTGTTTGCGCATTTTTTATCAAATACTTTATATACAAAGTATATATTATGATCGTTCCATTTCAGCTTTAATATAATAGAAGAAGTTAATAAGCTAAAAGAACAAGAAGATAATAATACTTCAAAGATTATGAAGCTTCACAAGAAGCCATCGTGCATTATATGAAGCTTCAATTGAATCATCACACGCCACGCCCACCCTCGTGTTGAGGCTGGGTCATACTCAACAAAGCTGGGTGAAGCTCGTCTTCAATGGAGATGTCGCCCAGATTTCATGGAGATTCGTCGCATTTCCGGCGAGAAATCACGGTGTTTCCCTTTGAGCCTGCTTCATCAATCTCGAAAGCTTCACGTCATCTCCTTCACCAATTTCTGCAAACAATCAATCTGCCTGTCCAATTTCCTTCTTTTATGCGAGTCCCGTGTTTTCAGACGAGTTCAGACAAGACGAGAAGAAAAGACTGGAAAACACAAACTATTTCACCGTTTTCGATCTCGACGGCTAAAAATGGAAACAAGAAAACCATGCTTTCGTCTGATAAGTGACACTGCAAACATACACGTCGTATTGCAGTTTGCCACGCAACTTAGTATATCGATTATGTAGACCGGGGATGTCCAACTCTGGCTCTAGTTTCTGGAGCAGTGCCTTCATTTACAGACCAAGGCAGTGCCTGATATGCTCGGAAATCTCGCACACAGGCAAAGACTTCTCAAGTTACTTGGACCCTGAACGGCTAGTTTTCCCGTCACTTAGCATTATTCTATAAGTTCTCTAGGCCATTCCATCCACATACGGACACAACAACCTCCTTCACTTCTAAAGTGGAACAGGAGCAGATTCTCCGACCAAAATTTAGGAAAACTAGATCCACAGGAAGCTCTTAGTCCATCTAATATCACATAATGCCACGTCGCTATGCAACGCTCATGTTCATGCTCGTGCCCGTGCTCGAGGGCCCTCATCGATTGCGGCTCAGTGATTCATAGTTTTGTATTGTTTTCTTTTGAGGATGTGCCTTATTTAGTGTTCATAATCTGCCGTCGTCTTTATCTTTCGTCGCCCAGTTATACACACTGGAGAGAAAATTTTCGAAAAAAAAAAATCGAAGTGAGAAGCCATTTACTTTTTTGCAATCTTTAATCTCATAAAGGAAGAGCACAACTTGGTTGCCTTCACTTTTCTGGACGATCAAGAAATTGGCAACGACGTCGACATGTCATGCAATGTAGAAAGGATCGGACAAAGTTAGGTTCGTACGATAAAGAAATCAATCACTTAGAACGTAAGGTAAGAGCAACCATTTCATCCTAGGGTGTCCTCATGCTGACGTCATAAATATTTCACTTCTTAGATCTTATTCTGGTCTGCATTGATTTCTCGAGTCATCCGGGCCGTCAAAGTCCAATTTGGGCCCTTGCCGTTCTCGCTTTCAAATTTCATATTCAGTGAAAACAAAGCTGAACACACTCTTCTTTCTGTTCTCGTGGGAAACGTGTTCTGTTTGTGAATACAAAAGGTTTCGACGTCGTCGAGAATTATGAAATCTTGTTTGGTTGTGTCGTTTCAATCATGAAAATCCTGACATACATACATACATACATACATACTAGTGTTTAAGTTATTAAGATGCCCAATTCTTCTAAACTTGATATTGGAAATGATTATGTGCTCTATATACTATTTTCTGCACATATTTTTTATCAAATACTTTATATACAAAGTATATAGTATGATAGTTCCATTTCAGCTTTAGATCAATAGAAGAAATGAATAAGCTAAAAGAACAAGAAGATGATAGTACTTCAAAGCTTCAATTGAAGCATCACACCACCCCACGCCCAACCTCGTATTGAGGCAGGGTTATACTCAAGAAAGCTGGGTATTGCTCATCATCTTCAATGAAGATTTTGGCCCAGATTTCCTGGAGATTCGTCGTATTTCCGGCAAAGTCACGGGTTTTCCCTTTGAGCCTACTTCATCAATCTCGAAAGCTTCACGTCATTTCCTTCGCCAATTTCTGCAACCAGTCAATCTGCCTGTCTGATTTCTTTCTTTATGCGAGTCCCGTGGTTTCAGACGAAACGAGAAAAAAACACTGGAAAATACTAAAACTAGTACACCGTTTTCGCTAACTATGGAAACAAGAAAACCGTGCTTTTGTCTGATAAGTGACACTGCAAACATACAAGTCATATCGCGGTTTGCCACGCAACTTAGCATATCGATTATGTAGACCGGGGGTTTCCGACTCTGGCTCTAGTTTCTGGAGCAGTGCCTTCATTTACAGACCAAGGCAATGCCTGATATGCCCGGAAATCTCGCACACAGGCGAAAACTCCTCGAGTTACTTGTACGCTGAACGGCTAGTTTTCCCTGTCACTTAGCATTATTCTACAAGTTCTCTAGCCATTCCATTCACATAAGGACACAACAACCTCCTTCACTTCTAAAGTGGAACAGGAGCAGATATTCTCTGACCAAAATTTAGAAAACCAGATCCACAGGAAGCTCTTAGTCCATCTAAATATTACATAAGTTGCTTGACAATCAACAACATAGACAGACAGTACTTAGAGTCCAATTAACACCACTCCAGGAAAAGCATCTGTTTGGACCCTCAACTGCTTGTGTGATGAGAGGCAAACATTAAAGGTAAAGAACCAAGGCATCTCAAGATTTCTTCAGCATTGTTCATCCTCTAGTTTCTTTTGTTTGGAAAAGTGCAGCATCGCGAATATAGCACTTTTTAGAAGAACAATATGCCGAAACTTAAAAAAAGATCATGCAACAAGTTCCAGAATCCAATGCACTTCCTTTTACTTGATTACACTTGGAAAAAGAACAAATGTATCACCTTTAAGCATTGTACAGTTACAAAGAGAACACCCAAGACGGGTCCTATATTCCTTGGTGATGGCAAACACGACACTATAGAAGAAATCACGTGAAACAAGTAAAAGGTCACATGCAAATATGAACAGGAAACTCCATGCAGACATACACGAACATGTCCACGAAAAGAAAAGGAGTGCCTGATATATGTGAAACAGGATATCATGGATTGCGGATCATATTGACAACCTCTGAACACCCAACTCAAACCTTTACTAGCCTAACCCTTATGGAGCATGCAACAACTATAAAGAGAGTTAAGAGGAATCATCACCAAGAAATTCCAAAGTGAGATCACCAACAAAGCAGCGCAAGAACCACAAAGACTCCGATGAGTAGAAGAAGGTTCTTCAACACGGTATCAGCCTGCTGCCCCCGTGCAGCCGTCTGCGGAAAACCATGGGCATGACCACCGTGGAATGTGTTGAAGCCGTATGGATAACCCGAAGTCGTCCCATACACGGTGGCATCTTGAAATCCATGGAATTGCACGTTGAACAGAGCAGGGATTAGACCGCCAAACGCAGTAGAGAGCGTGAAGTTCCCGATCCTAGCATAGGCCATTGGCATGAACCCTCCCATGAAACCCAACCCATAGTTCGCGAACTGATTCGCTTCTGGAGGCGGAGCGGTTTCGGGCCTTTGTCCCGAAGGGCGGTGGGGGATATCAATTCCTGGATAAGATTTGGATCTCGGGTCCGTCGGGGTCTTCCCCCTCCCGTAAAGAGGGACCAATTTCTCCTCTTGTATAAGGGCCTTGCAGACGGGGCATTCGTGGCAATGCGAGTGATGGCGCAGCCACCTATAGAGGCAGGGCCAACAGTACAGGTGACCACAAAGGGTCAGGACAGGGTCTTGAGCTAATTCAAGGCAGATGTTGCATTCGAAATCGCCCGCCTCATTGCCACCATTGTCGGAGGAAGACGCACTTTGGGCCGGCTTACTCGTAGCCTCGCTTTCCATCAAGTGGACCTACGAAAACGATCGAGACAAACTTTTACAATGCCGTGAATTTACCATCTATGAAACAGAATGTCCGAAACATTAATGACCATCTCGTCACAAACAGAAAAATTCTACAAATCCAAAGCTGAGTTTGTGGCCGAAACTGCTGCTGTGACATCAGAGACGGATTGCAGAGTCAAAAACAAAATAACGACATCATTCGAAAAAAGTAATCAAATTTCGCGACATCGCAAGACAAAATCCCGGCAAAACCCGATACTTGGGCACGAAATCATAAACCACTAGGAAGGCGATCTCGACATCAGCATGGCCAAACGGCTAAAATCAGGTCTCCGCACCGCACGCCCAAACCCTAATTCTACAGCGGGACAGCCAGACAAACCCGAATCGATCAACGGAACCAACCGTGCCGGCGGATCCCAAAGAGACGCTACTGCGCAATCGATCGGAGACGGAGCCGAAGCCGGCGAACCCCAAAATCCTCCGCGCAGAAGCAGCGGAAACCACGCGTCAAGCACAGAACGCGGGGCCGGATCGGACCGGACCGGACCGAATCACCGCCCCCAAAACCCCAAGACGGAAGAAGAAAACGGACTCGAAACGCCAGAAACAGGGCCGATCGCGGGCCGGAAACTCACCTCGAGCTCGAGCCGATCGGAGGGGGCAGAAGGACGCGGGGATCGGCGGACCGTCGGCGCGGCGGTGGCGGCGGCGGCGGCGATCGAAGAGTTTCGACGGTAGTGGACGACGGAGGAAGACGAAGGGAGGGAGGGAGGAAGGAAGGAAAAGGAGGAAGAAGGTTCGAGGGAATTCTCGCGCGGATCTGGGACGTCCGTGGAGGCTGATCGGACGGTCGAGGTCGCTCCTCGTAGCGTGAGCATCGAGTTTTGACTTCTCTGACTTAGGTGAGAAGGTTTGACTAGTACGTACCGTCGGTCGGTTAGCGTAGGATGGGATCGGAGCCGGCGGCGAAGGAACGAGGAAGGGTCGTAGACTCGTACTCTACTCGTAGAGCTCTGTGTAATATTTCGTCAAATATATATTTTTTTATTTTGTAAACTAAATTTAAAGTTTATGAAATATCACATAAAATTATAATATCACGTCTTTTTAATTATAATACCAAGAACTTGACGTTGTAAATTTGATTTTTTTTTTGTAAATTACGACGGTTCGCAAATCATTTTCGTAAGCATTTTTTTGGATGATAAAAAAAATTATTCATTTATTTTTGTAAGCAATACAAGCGATCATTTTAAAGAAATAATTTTTCAAATCATTCATTTTCTATGAAACAAACGAATGTCTAAGTTTGCAAATTTTCTGCATGGTCGAGATTAACAGAGAGATAGGATCTACACGACATTACAAACATGGCATACCTCATCATGGATATTAAACATTTCCTTCATTGCCGATAAAACCGTAGATACACGCATAGCAGAAAAATACCGACATGATCCCAACGCATGCGATCCTGTCTCACATGCACTGTCAAATGAGATGGGACCCACCTAGAGCTCATACGATCAATTAGTGCGTGTGAATTGGCTCACGTGTATCTGGGATATTAAGGGTGCGCATGAATACCATTCTGTACCCGGGAACTATTTCTGAACAGAAATGATTTTTTTTTTTATTCTGTATTCGGAAACAATTTCTGAGCATTTGAAGGCGTTTGATAAATTGTCCAAAATTTCTATTCCTAGAGTAGAAAAGAACAGAAATGCGTTTGGTAACTACACAAAATTTCTTTTTATTAATAATATTTTAATAATTTTTGAATTGTTTAATTTTTTTTTCTACCCATTTTCTTCTTTAACCATGGCCGGTCGCCGGCGGCCGGCAACCGGCCACAGCCTAGGGCCGGCGAGGGCGTCACGGCCCTCGCTGGCCGCCGACGGAGGCGAGGGTCCCCCTTGCCCGTGAGGGCGAGGGCGAAGGCTGGACCCTTGCCGCCTGGGCGAGGCGGCTCGCCGTCGGTCATGGCGAGTTCGGCCTCGCCCAGATCTGGCGAGGCCGAGCCTCGCCGTTGCGACCCATGGCGAAGCCGACCTCGCCGTCGCGACCCACAACGAGGCTTGGCCTCGCCAGATCTAGGCGAGGCCGAGCCTCGCCGTCGCGACCCACGGCGAGGCTCGGCCTCGCCCGATCTGGGCGAGGCCAACCTCGCCATGACCAACGGCAAGCCGCCTCGCCCAGGCGGCGAGGGTCCAGCCCTCGCCCTCGCCGGCAACGGGGACCCTCGCCTCCGCCGATGGCCGGCGAGGGTCGTGACGCCCTCGCCGGCCCTGGGCTGTAGCCGGTCGCCCGCCGCCGGCGACCGGCCACAACCCAGAAAAGAGCAACACAAAGAAGAAAAAAAACTTATTCTCAAAATTGTGCCGAGAAACAAGAAGCAACTTTTTTTTATTTCTTGTTTCTCTTCCAAAACTGTTTCTGGGCACAATTTTTTGCAAAAATGTGCCCGGGAACAAAAAGTTTACCAAACGCATTTCTGTTCCCAAACTATTTCTGGGAACAAAAGAACAGAAATTTTCACTGTTTGGCACGTTACCAAACAGGCCCTAAGGCGGTCCATGTACTCCTTTACAAAATTCAAAAACATATACCTATACATTTCCTTTTAAAAACCTTCGATATACTTTCGAAAATGTTTAACGGTAATCCTTTCTTTAAACCTATAGTTTCACTGTCTTCAAACTTTACACTCCAATTTCGACATGTAAAAAAAAAATTGCAAATCAAGTCAATTTATCACCGCTCTTCATCTTAGCAAGCTATGCATTATACAAATTCAAGAAGTTTTTTTAAACTAATTTATCAAAATTAAACTAAGCTCACCAGCATATTATACACAAACAAGATCATGAGCATCGAGTAAGTAGATTATTTTTAGCTTAACGTCCTAAAGTTTTCACTTCTCTTGATTTGATGATCTCGAGATAAAACGAATCTATTCAATGCCTTAAAATCACAACAATATTATAAACTAATAAATTTCTAACTCTATAATAGATCATAATCTAATAATCTTAAAATGTATAAAATTTTCGTTAATTTTTAACTTAGAAAAAAGATTATGAGGGCAAAGTCCTATCTTGCACGACTTGAGAGGTTGATGTATTCGTCTCTGGTTGCAAAATGATTTTAAATGATAAAAGGTATGGTATGAGATGGTCGCACCATGTCACCACGGGCAGTGTTGATGTGGTGCGATCGAATCATCTTTACCCGCTTGTTTTGAATAAAATCTTACTTGACATCATGCGTGAGATATCCCATGGATGCCAACAATGATGATTCTAAATAATCACTGCCACGTGTGACCCGCCTATTTTGAATAACGTCTTACCTAGCATCATGTATGAGATTATCATATAGACACCGACAATGATGATCGGCTGGTTACACTAGATCATCACTACCAGTACCAGGTGTGTAACCGTCGCATGGAATACTTTCTCCTTTTAAACACCTATAAATCAAAAAGTGTTTTGAAACCACTAAAGTTGTCAATTGCAAGATCATAGGCTACGTTTGGTATAGGGTTGAGCAAAATGGACTGCCCGAACCGGGATCGAACTGGACCGGACTGAACCAACCAGTTAGGTTCGATTCTTGGGAATATCGGTCCAATTCCCGGTTCTTAAAAGTGGAACTGGTTTCCGAGCGATCCGGTTCCCAGTTCTAGGGTGGGAACCGGACCAACCGGACCGAACCGATAAATATATATTTTTCTAATTTTTTCATATACATATTTATTTACTTTTTAAAATTTTTGAAAAAATAGAAAACCTAATCTAATTTCCCCAATTCCCTCTCGCCTTTACCAATAAGTGATTGGTCCCATTGGAACCAGTCCACGGTCTCAGGACTAGCCGGTCCGGTCCCCGGTCCTAAAAACTGGGAATTAGTCCTCCCGGTCCGGTTCTCGGTTCTTAGGTTGGACCTGACTGGACCAGGAACCGATCACCCTAGTTTGGTAGCCTGAATTTGAGTTCAGATAGAATAACAAATTATCATATCCGATGTTTGGTGATGTTCTCCAGACCGGATAAACCCGGATACATCTGAATAAAATACTAGATATGAAATCCGGCCTAGAGGGTGAGATAAAACCGGTTTGGTTATAAAAATAACTAAAAATTTAAATTTTATCTTTTAACAGAGTGATAAAGTGACGCTTCGCATATTGCTTCCTTGGCACCGCTCGCCTGAGAACCATCACCAAAATTGCTGATCATCGTCACTTCCGACTACTGCACGATCGTCGTCACTTTCAACCACTACACGATCGCCGTCACCTCCGACCATGCTGGTCATCATCGTCGGCCGGCGATCGTGTTTCGACGAGTAAGGGTGAAAATGGGTCTAAAGACAATCGTTATGCCAGGTTTGCATAAATCATCCTTTCCACCCCAGTCGCATACATCATTCACATTGAGCCAACCTTTCACGCATGACTCACGAGCCGGCTTTTCACCTGTCGGTCGACGACAAATGGCCTGCACATCATCAGCTTCTTGGCGACCATGCTCTCAAGCGTCGAGTTCCACTTGCACACCGTGGTGCAGAACCTCTTCCTGCGAGCCTATCCCATGATGCACACCTTCTCCGATATCACTTCTCATAGCAGCTTTCTTTGGCAGTGGAGTCCGGCTGTACGACCCATAGGAAGTGCCTCTCGCTCTTCACAAGGCCATCCCAAAATTACGTGAACTCATGTCAATTGAGAGATCTCATGCTCCCGAGGTCAACTTCTCATAGACGTGCAAAGTTAGAAAATGGGATTTTTAAAGATTTTCAAATGAGAAAAATTTTCAAAGATTTTCAATCTTATCTTCGGTTATGGATTCTCAAAGATTTTCAAAGATTGTTTCAAGTATTCCAAATCCTATCTTAAGTTACACCAAACATATAATTGAATATTTTTACAATCCGGAAATATGTGGAGGATTTCAAATCTCTCTTTATCATATCCTATCCCAATTCGAATCTGGACGATCAAACGCAGCCTTAGAGTAATTTTTAACTCGATCAGACAATTATTGTATCCGTATTTCAGGAATATCTATGTGATTATATTTTCACACTTCACGCTCTTATATATCATCTTATGCACGAATATCTATTTACTTTCTCCATTTTGAATTTTGAAGAAAATTGCAAAGACCAATTTTAAAATATTTTTTTTCTAATGGAAGGCCTGAGTCAATAGCAAAACCATAATTAGTTTTCCATTTTGGTAAGATCTGTCCCATAAAATGCTCAAAGAACTAAAGATGAACCTTTTTTACAATTTAAAGATTAACCCTATTTAGAAAAAGGGTTTATCGAAGATTTTTTGAGTCTCACTACTTCTATTAATGATAGTATAGGTCAGTACACCATCATCACGTTACAAAATTGTATGCTTTTGCACATTTGGTTCTCCTTCATCCCTTTTCTCGGTGTCGAATGGTGCAAAGAATCGAACCCCTCGTGCCCACTCACGATCTGCCGAGGCGGCGGGCAGCGGGGGCGACGACGGGCTCACCCGACAGGCTTTCCGCAGCTCGTCGTACCTGCGGACATCGAAGCCACGAGCCCGCATCAGCTTCTCCTGCTTGGCCGCGAACCGGCTCTGGAAGAACCCTTCGAAGGAGGGCTCCCGGGACGTCCTGAGGAAGAAGGCGTAGCCGAGCATGAAGTAGACGGAGGTGAGGTAGAAGCAGATGGGCTCCATCACGTCCCACGTGAGCTCCCAGAAGGTGAGCCGCATGAACCCGGCGGTCTGGACCACGAGGTAGCCGAGGCCCATCCAGAGCTCCCGGCGGACCAGGGACTCGGCCTCCCGGTCTATCCCGGCCTTCCGCCGCTCCATCGCCTCCAGCTCCGCGCTCCGCGGCGGCGGCGGCATCAGCCCCTCGATGGCCTTTCCGACCTGTGGACACAAATGGGTACACAGATTGTTTGACCGAACGTTGCTTTGTCCCGAACACAGACCCCAAAATCGGGCTACCACATTAGCTAATTCTCTACAGCAATTCATCCCCCAAATTCCGTTCCATGAAACATTGCGACTTTCTTGGTCGGCCCCCCCCCAAAAAAAGAAATTATTTTAAAAATCAGAGGAACGCTGTCGTTTTTGTCTCTTTTGCAACAGACCACGTTCAAATCGGTGAATTTTTTACCAAAAAAATTGAAAAAAACGTGTTTTTTGAATTGAATAAGAAGAAGAAGAAGAAAGGCGTTTTGGACTTGTGAACATGCGAAGAAAAATCCCCTCCAACTATCACAGATGTGAGGCTACATGGGACGGAGACATCCTAATCCAGCAATTATGGTCGCCGAAAGCAACCTTGGTACATCTCAAAATCAAACACCAAATTACTCAACATCGATCACAGCACACCCTTTTACCCACCCCCTTTCGTGAAATTTTCTCCTATTTTCACGTTAGAAAAATCAAAATCAAAATCTAATTCATACCCTTTAATTGAAATTTAGCTTATGAAATGACCCCATAATCTTCCACAAAAAAAAAACAAGGAGGGGATGAAAGGGGTGTTTCTCCGGTGGATGTGGAAGGGGGCTGGTTTTGGTCCTTGTCGTCCTAAAAAATTGGTGGTTTTTGTACCGTCTCAAACAACGTGGGAACTCTTTACACGTTTTTGGTCTCTGGTCCTGTCGTGAAGCACCAAACCCGAACGTTGGGAGCAACAAAGGATCACCAAAAAAACACGTATCAGTCTTCGGTAGAAGTCTTCAATTTCCATGGTAAAAAATGTATAAATGAAATTGAAAATCAAACGAAAATCAAATGAAATTGGAACCTAAAAACTGTAAACCCTCTGATGACCATTTTGTATTATCCCTGCGACTCTAAATTATATAAATCGAAAAAAGAAATTCGAGCGCCAAACAAAGAATTTGACGGAAAAATTAAAAGAAAAATAGGGGAATTACCAGCTCGGGCCTGAGGAGCACCATCTTGCCCAAAACGACGACGTTTCCGGTCTCGTCCAGCCTCCTCGCCAGACGGAGCCCCTCGTCGGGATCGGAGCACGCCTCGCCGCAGATCCGGACGAGCTCCGGGTACGGAACCCACGTCTCCCCCGCCTCCCTCAGCCGCGACTTCACCATCTCCACCCGCGCCACCCTCATCAGCTTCCTCGCGTCCTCCACCGTCAGCTCCGGGGGCCCGTCGTCCTCCGCCGCCGCCGCCGCCGCCGCCGCCGGCTCCATCGGCGGCGGCGGGGGGGCGGGGAGGATCGGGCCCGAGATCCGGATCCTGTTCCGCGCAATGTCGAGGGCCCGGAGCCTCTCCATCAGGCCCTCGCCGATCGGGGTCGGCGGGGGAGCCATCATTCGGGCCTCAGGCGAGAGGGCGGCCTTCCGGTGGAGGAACCGCCGGAAGACGCCGCCGTCTCCGGGATCGTGGTCGATGGCGAGCTCGGTCCGGCGGGGAGGGGCCCGCGGGGCCGCCGCGGAGGCGGAGCGGGAGCAGTTGGCCAGGGCCTGGGAGGAGGAGGAGGAGACGGTTCGGGACATGCTGAGGAGACGCCGGGCCAGCGACTTCTTGATCGACATTGTGTCGAACCGATCCGACCCGAGGAAGGAGAGACGACGAGGTGGGTTTTTTTCCGACGTTCTTGTCGTCGAGGATGCCGGAGGGTCACGGCGGCGGTGGTGCTCTTTCTTGTCTTGCTTTTGGGAGCTGTGACGACAAAGAATGGAGGTGGAGGAGGAGGTGGCGTTTCGGGGGTCCTCTATATAGGTGTCCGAAACCAGACGAAGAAGACGACGCAGAAGAATATTGCAAAAAAAAAAATCCCAAAAAATTAAATAAAAATAAAATATAAATTCATTTCCAGAAAAAAAGAATCGGTTCCGGTTATCGAGCGCGATATCTTGCGGTCGAGACGATAATTTGGAGGACAGAAATTGGTCCGTGCCAAGCATATGAACAAGAAACACGGTTTTGCTAAACTTGAACGTGGCGACCCGACCTTGTGGTGTCCTTTTTTCCCCCTCCTTTTCCTTTCGCTGATTCGAATTCTGACCCGACACGACGTGTCCTTCGGGTCATCTCGATCTGCCCATCGATCTTAATCCGCTTGTTATGGCATGGCATTTATTTCGGATTACCGTACTCATTTTATCGTGATGCATTGAATCGGGTTGAGTCATCTCATTTTGGTGGACGGAATGAATGGGGCCGAGTTCTCGTGCCATGTACCGATTCATAAGCAAAATTGGGATTCAACATCCAAGTTTACGGGCTTCGATAAAAAATAAGAAAAAATCACAAGAATCAAACGGTACCGCATGCACAAAGTTTGTTTCACCTATGAGACCAGATGGAGACGGACCTTTTGCTAAGAGCATATTCCCGTGGAACGACCAGGACATATTCCTAACCCTCCGCGCTCACGAGACGACCGAAACGGTGCGCTGCAACAACCCCCGCCCCCCCCCCCCCCCCGCGGTCCCCCACCACCGTACACGTGGTGGGCGGAGGAGGGCCCGGATGAGGACGCTCCCCACCGTCTGATCACATGAGCGAGCAGATGACGCTGACGTCCCGTTGGGGAGTTCGGTCAACCGGGTTGGGGGCATGCTCGACACGTGTAAGCCCCTAACGCGACCGGTGATTATCCGTTAGGGTCAAATCAAACCCATTAAAATAGCCTCGCTCACATGGAATCGCAACCACCCGCGGCCTCTCTTCCTTTAAGGAAGGAATCAACCGGGGAAGGGCCTCGATTTTCAAAATTGAATGCGGGCGGGTGGGGGCCCACGTCGGAGCTGCCGCTTCGCGGAGACGTGTCGCCACATACGATTTGTTCATTATCTTAGGTGGGGAAATCGTGTCGGCGGGGGTGCGTTTCGCTTTATTCGGGAAAGTTCACGGACGACGGTCCGGTTTCTCGCCGGGGCTGGTGGGAGGGGGCACGTGGCGACGCGCGATTGGGGGCGGGGGGTGTGTGGGGCCTTCCCTAGATGCGTCGGGGTTCAATTCATGACTTTGTAGGGGGGAAGGGAGCGGTGACGGACTGAGTGACCGTGGCGGCGACTGGCGAGCGGGGGTTGGGACAAATGGCGGCGTGCATGGCTGCATGGAGAGCCGGGATTTAGTGAGCGGATAAGACCGTGTTTATTGCGGGCGGTTAACGTTGTTAAACATCGTCCGAAAAAGCCTTACAATGGCAAAGGGATTGGGGGTAGGACCGGAGAGTACTGGGTCCGGGGTTCGATCGCCGTGAACATCGCACACATATACACATAAAAGAGAGGAGTGAGACCCAAAGGAAAGAGAAAATCACGCGTTTGAAATCATGAACATAGCTCAGCGATTGAGATGGCGATCGGATTGGGCGTCATAAATGCATGAGAGATTGATGCAGTCGAGAGAAGAATGATCGCCGTGTGTATGATTAGGATTTTACTTATTTATAAGTCTGACGTCGCGAGTGCATACTTTACTATATTGAACGGAAAAGAGTTAGAGAAATGTTAAACAAGATGAGAGCATAGGAACGTGATTGATAATCTCGATTATCGTGAGAAGAAATGTCAAAATATATAAGTGATTTCCTGGCTCCCAAAAGTTTAAAGCATTTTGAAATGACTTATAATCGATACCAAGCGTATTTTTTACTCTCTTTACGCTACTTATAGATTAGCAAATGTTTTTGGTGCGACGAACAAATTGTTAGTCATGTTATTAATGTGATTAATGGGCTTGGAATGTACCTATTTAAAATGTGAAATTTTGGGAGGAAATACTTAAAACTTCTTCAAATTTTGTATATACCTTTAAATTTTTTACTGCTACCCGTTGCCCATCAATAATTTCATTTCGTTACAACGGTTAACCTTCTATTGTATTTTCCGTTAGCATGCGAAATGAACATGTTTTAAGGCAGTAAAAGTGCACTTTCATCTCATTTTTTAAAACCAAAATATATGTTTCACCATTAATTTACAAAAAAAATAAAGAAAATAAAGAAAAATTGGTGAAATAAGTTATTAATATGATAAAATGAGTATCGATAATAATTCCAAAAAAAATATTTTTTTAAAATTTGATGAATATATGAATAGAACTAATAAGATATTTGAAGGAAAAGAAACATGATTAAGTAAAAAGGAAAAAAAGGCATCAATAAAAAAAACGTCAAATGATAAATATTAGATACCCATTATATACTTTTAAATGATTATATTGATCAATAAAAAGTAGTTAAAAAAATCACCATTTCAGTTAATCATTTTCTTTTATGAATCGAGGGCATAATTTCCTTTTATAATTTTTTTTAATACTTGTACTAGTCAGTCACATTTTACTTTACTTAACCCTTTAAATATACATAATAAGTCACCAATTTCTGTGATTTTATTTGTTGTTGTTGAGGCATTTTCCCTTTTTAATTTAATTTTTTTATTCTTTTTCTTAATAATATCTTACTTAATTTATGAAAGTGACTATAATCATCAAATTTTATTGAAGTTTTGTTGGTTATGTTATTTATATTAATCAATTTCTATTGTGAGCATTTTAGTTAATTTAATTTTCTCCCATTTTCTATATTTTTTTTATTTTCTACAGCAATTAAGAGTAAAAGAGAGATTTTCTCTAAAAAATTATATGAAAATTTACTTTTACCTTTTAAAAGTCAGGGGCATTGCACATATTAACTAAAAAACAAAAAATAACATAGGGCTAAATGCTGTGATAAATTGAAAGTTTAGGGAGGTATTATTGTTGAAAGTTTGGGCCCCAAAGTTCAGGGGATTTTGCGTAAAGCTCCTAAATTTTGAGAGGATTAGCGGATGTGTTTCTCTTCATTTTTGATTGATATGGAACTTTTTCCAATTAAATCTTCAATAGGTGGATTACAAATACGAGCACCATCCACATCCAAACTTAACCAAAAATGTGTGGCTAATATCCGTGTTTGTAAACCATTCTTCCCCAAAATTTGCCAATGTAGTACCGGACTCCGCAAGAAGTGAGAATCGAGCCAAACAAACTTGTAATTGGCAAATTAGGCTACACCATAGTCCTTGTACTTTGGTAGAAGTTAAGTGCCAAAAAGATGTACCAAATCAATTGTTTTAACGATGTTAGCAACCGTGGCATGTTTAATCATAAGGTCACCTTCCACTCGGCTCAAATTCTTTGTGAAATTTTTAAGCTACAGTACACACAAGAACTTATAAAATTGTCAACCTAACATCATGTGATTATGCAATTCAATTAAACAAGAAGATGGATAACGCTGAGCCTTCCTACTTGCGTGGTATTCCCGGCATTATTCCGATTCTCTTAGCGCTCAACCATGTAAATAAATAAGTTGGATCACGTCATTCCTCGAACCTTGAGAATACTCGGAATAGTACACGTTTGCCCCTGCACTTCTAAATGTTTCACATATTATCCCTCAAACTTTCATTTCGTTACTACCGAAAACCTTGGATTATATTTTCTGTTTGCATATCCAATGCACATGATTTTTAAAGGGTAAATATGTATGTTCATCTCATTTTTTTTTTCTTAAGAAAGTTTCTCTTTTACCATTAATTTATGTAAAAATAATTAAATAAAATTGGAAATAATTAACTAAAATTTTAATGCCAGAAAAATAAGTATAAAATATGAGAATAAAGTATACTTTTACCCTTTAAAAGTCGTGTGCATTGCATATACTAACAAACAGATAACAAAGGGTTAGCGGTAGAAATAAATTGAAATTTCAGGGGGTATTGTTGAAAATTCGAGAGCAAAGATGTCTTATTCCAAAGTTCAAGAAATTTTGTGTAAACTCCCCTAAATTTTGAGAGGACTAGTGGTTACATTTTCCTCCATTCTTGATTGGATGAAACTTTTTTCAGCTAAATCTTTGATCGGTTGAATACAAATACAAACATCGCATACATGCATACTTAACTAATAATGGCAACAACTTATGACAGGAGAGGAGGGGAGGGGCTTAATTACACAACAACCCCTCAATTTTTTGTTGGACTTTGAACCTATAGAATGGTGTGCCACGTAATATTATCAAATGTCTACTCCTGACTATATCTTCGTTGACATTATTCAATCCACATGAATAAAAAAAAAATGCTAAAAGATCATTAGATAAACGATAAACTAGTGTTTTTCTAATTGACCATTTCGAGGTAATCATCATACACGTGTAATCGGTATAAGGGTATCGTTGTATTTTGGGAGAAATTGAGGGTGCGTTTGTTTGAGCGAAAGAATTTCTCATGAATTAGTTTTCTGGACTTTCACGCGTTTGCTTTGTTGAAAATGATCAGTTATCAGAAAATCATTTACACTTAAAGAAAATATGCACGCCTAAAGTTAGGAAAATGAATTCCCTAACCCGAAAGTCACTTACCTTTATCACAAAGCATTCCTCGAAACAGACACACCCTAAGGTGCCGAAATAATTTAGGAAACCAATTGTTTTGAGAATGTTAGTAACCTTGGTCATGTTGATTCATTAGGTCAACTTGCACTAGGCTTTACTTCTTTATGAGATTTTTAAAGCTAGATGGCAGTACCCACAAAAGAGAACTTATAAAAATCATCAACCTAACATCATGTGATTATCCAATTCAATTGAATTAGGAGGTGGACAATGCTGACCCTTCCAACCTGTGTGGGATTCCCAGCATTATCCCAATTCCCACGTTGCTCAACCTTCTATATGTGTAATTATTATTTTTAAATTAAGCTCAATCTGTCCAATG